AGCACGGAAAAGGCTCCGGCACATTCAACGAATCTCGTCAGGGTGGCAGGGCTGGAGGCAGATGCTGTCCCCAAGGAGTGACCTCAGGATTGCCCCCAGGATTATCCTTGAGGATTGGCCCCAGATTTGTCCCTACACCAGCACTGACCTCCAGGATTGTCCCCAGGATTGTCCTGCAAGAGTAACCCCCAGGATTGACCCCCCAACAGCGCTGTCCCCCAGTACTGCTCCTGGGATTTGTCCCAGGATTGCCCCCAGCATCAACCCAGGGATTGCCCCCACGACTGACCCCAGAATTGCCCCTCAGCATCCACACTGGATTGAGCAAACTCTTTGCTGCTGCTCTCCCACCACCCACATCCTGCAGCCACCGAGTCCTTCCCGTGGGACACACCATGTCCCCAGGGCCCAGAGGATCTCCTTGGGGATGATCTTCCCCCAGTGCCAAACCAGCAGGCACTCATCCTGCTGCTGTGCCTCTCCAGCTAAGTCTCCTGAGCTTCACCAACCAAATCCCCCCGGCACTGATCCCCCAGTGCTTTTCTCCCATTGAAATATGAGTGAAAACCACCCCTGCCTCCATGGGGGGGTCCCAGGGAGAGGATGTACCCCAAACTGGTGACAGTGCCAGGGTGGCAGCTCACCCTGCCCTACCTGCTCTCGCCAGCCCAGTACTTTTCCAGCTATGGATACCATATGCTCTGTCCCCATCCCATCAAATCCCATCTCCAACTTGCCTTTGAGCCCGAGCCAGCGGCCCCGAGTCCACCTGTCCTGAACTAATTCTGTTTGGGGACGTGGTGTTCTGTGGATTCTCTATAGATCCCTTTTACAATGGCCCAGCCAGTTGTGTTTGGGTCAGCCCTACCCAAAACAAACCCAGGGTCGCTGCCAGGGCTGGACTCCCCCAGCCCACAGCAACACCCCTGTGCCTGCCAGCCTCATCTTCTCCCCTATTTCATTCCAAACCAGAGGAATATCATGTTTTCTAGTTGGAAAATACAGCACAAAGAGGGAAGGAAGTGTTGTTCACGCCTCACACCAGCTCCAAAATCTCCCCCTTTCATCTCCATGTGGCCACTTCAAAGCCCCCAAGCCAGGGAAATATTTGCCTCCCTTGGCTTGGCCTGGGCACGTGGGTGGAGAGAAGAATTTGGTGTTGAATGTTACAGTCCCTGTGAGCTCAGGACATGTCACACCATCAGGAGACACCCGGCACTGGGCACAGGGCCAGGCTGTGCCATGGGAACTCGCCCGCCCGGGCAGGAGGGTCTGGGGGGTCTCCTTGGGTCACATTCATGAAGGTGGCTCAGAACAGGGTCCTTCCCTTTGCCATGGCACAGCATATTCCCAGAGAGGCAGCTGGTAAATCACAGCTCATCGCTGCACTTGGACGGTGTCACTGCCACACACTTGTCTTGCTTTTAACCTCCTGCTTTCTCCTGGGCCAAAAAAAGATGGAAAAACTACATGGCTTTGCCTTTGAAACAGCAGGTTTGACCCAGGGACAAGCAACCCCAAAATCACAGCCC